CTTATCCATCCTGTTTATATAAATTATAAATTAAGGACTTAGGACTTAGGACTTTAAGGCAATAGTCAATTAGAATTGCAGTTATGCAACCGCAAAACATTCCTCCCCTTGCACTGCCTTCCCTTGATAGAGCACTGCCTTCCCTTGTTATCTAACTTGTCCAGTTGATGGCAATAAACTTGTACCCAATTACGTAAGTGGGATTAAAATGTGGGCGATTGATACGCCTCTACCACTTCTGGCGTAAAGGCGTGAGATGATATGTATGATGGGTGTAGGTTAAAGAACATTTAAATATAAAGTGTTCTGATCTGACTGACTGATCCATTGTAATGAAATCAGAAAGTATCAGAACTATCACGAAAGTATTAAATGTCACCAAGTAAAACGATGACATTATTCAGAGTTACGCGCTCACATGAGGAGCAAACACCGCTTTGAGTTTTTTTTATGATTTGATTGAAGATTAAAAACTAAATTTATCCAAAAAGATCGACTTCTGTAACCAATGTTAAATTTTAATAGTCCCGCTTATTAGTGTATTAAAATTAGGTATCAACTTGTGACGTCAGAGCATAAAAAGTGCATGTTGCACCAATATTTGTATGAAACCGATTCATATGCGAGCCAATGAAAATGAGCACAATACTTGTGGAATACACATCGTAATCACATAGAGTGGTTGGGATCCGCATCTGCGAAGTTGTAGGCATGGAGTTATTCAGGTAGAAGGTTGCCTAATGAAAGTCGATGAGATCAATGTTTCAGTTTTAATTACAAGTGATCAGTGCTGGGAAATTCTATGTACATAGAGTTAATGTTAACGAAATAATGTTAGGAGCAATATCTACACGATTCATCATCCTTAGAAAGGTAGTTTTGGTCTACTACACCACGCTGGGCAGATGAGTTGGTATAGGGTTTATGTCAAGTTTTCCTTTTCTTGTAGTGCTGTCGTCCTGCGTAGTTTGTTCCCTTAGTCGGGTCTTACGACCATGTAACGGTGTAACGGTGTTTTCTATGTATAATATTTATGTATTTACAAAAAAAAATATTAGTTATTATTATTAAATAATAGGCAATATTATTAAATATATTGCTGGAACGAAATAGGTATATACATATCCTAAGATAGATGTTCTTATCTGGTATAGACCCCTCTTTTATATAGGAGCCCAATGTACGCACCCGGTGCAGTGCAAAGAAATTGTCAAAGTAGAATTTACTAGTTAGTTACGAAGTACGCGCTGTGTAGGGTTCTGTAGTTAATTACTACGCATTTAAAATAAGTATATTTAAAAAAAATATTACTTTTGATAATTTGGCGACTATCCCAATTCAGCAAATCTCTTATTTCTTTGTCTTATATTCTAATCGGTCCTCGATATTTTTTTTAATTAGTAATTGTGAAAATTTTAAATTAAAAGAAAGTTATGATGCCGATGAAAACGACGTAAAAGATTCTGTTATAAAAATGGGTAAAAAGAAACAGGCCAAGGTAACATAAAGAGTGTAAAAAGGTAAACAACTTTAAAAGCTCAAGTAGAGATCGAATCAGTGCGGTCAACACAGTACGGTGCGGTCTTCATACTATAGCACATCTGGAAGCCAAAATCGCATTCGTGGTTCGGCCGCTTCGATTCGTCAACATTACATTCGAGTATCTACTCGAGCTTTGTGGGATAACAATTTCACATCTCTTTATACGGTGAACACCCGTATACAGTAAGCAGCTGTAAGTGCAGTTGTCTTCATTTAACCACTTTGGCCAATTTCTAAGATTTAAAAAACGCGATACGATTTTATACCTTTACTTAATAATGGCGGTTATCTGATTGCACAATCAAAATTTTCTCAATCAAGTCATGTGATAGTTTTTGTTCTCACGAGTCAATAGTGTGATGACTTAACTATTCCTAATATATTTTTTATGATTCGAATTGGTTTATACCACTAAAGTAGCAACGGTTAATCGGACGGTTAATCGTTAAAGTACTCTATGGTGGGTTGCCATAACAAGGATATCATGGTCCGCGCCAATTCGTAGACCATGAAATCCCTATCAATCAGTCTAATGCTGTTTTTCGTGTAAATGCTCATACAGCATTTCCAAATTCATATTTCTTAACCTTTCATAGTAAAGTATTCTTCTTTCATTGACTACAATCTATGAGTTTGTATTTACGAGTATTATGCACATTTTTATAATTATAGGATTCCATTTTTTTTTCATAATTGACATAGCAATAGTGGAGCCTAAGCAAGCGAGGTTTAACTGTAACTCAACTATCGAGATACTATCAAATATGTTGTAGATATAATGAGTAACAAATAAAAACACGAATATAATGGAATGTAGCATTTATAAAACAAATATCGTTCAAGTGATGTTCTTGGATTTAGTTATATTGAAACTTCATTACTATTTGGGTAACAACCATAATCTATGTGTAATTAAATATCATGTGTTGTCGTAACACCACGATTTAACAATTACCAATATAATAATTTTAGCTACCAATCATATAGTTTTTTTTTAAATAAAATAACAGCAAACTAAACACTTTTATTATTAAAGTGTACAAAATCGGCTAATACTCGGAACATGTAAAACGCCTTCGATGAGCCTCGCTGATAAACAGCTGACGTTATAAGGCTACTTATACATAGGAAAACTAATGAGGGTTTTGAAAAAGCTATTCGGATATCTGGAGGGCGCATTCCTACTTGGAACTAAAGGTTTAGGTTTCTGTCTCTGACTTTGGATGCTAATAAATCTTGATTTGCAGTTAATATAATGACTTGACTTACTAAATTTTAAGCTTTCGGTTGCATGATATGTAATTCTGGTTTAAGTACCTTTGAATTGCCCGACCTTGCTCTGACCGTGATAACTTTCATTATTTTATTGTTTGAATGGTTTATCCGTAATATTAAAGTAAAAACAAATTAAGCGTTATAGGACGTGTACAAGCACTTTGTATAACATACAACTAAAAATCGATTTAATTCAGATGATGGGGCATACTTAGCTTTATCGTTTTTAATAATTTAATGGATTACGAACCACGTCACGTATGTTGGCCTCACGCCGGTCCTAATATCTATATGTGTTATGCCAACTTATATGAGCGAAGATTTCACATATTTGTCAGAGATGGCAAGTTTTAAATCGTCATTATTATTAACAGCCTATAATAGTAAACTGCTGGACATAGGCCTCTCCTTAAAAATAAGGTTTTGGCCTACTATACTACGGGTTGGTGTTGATTGCCTTTATATTTGGTGTTTCTATTGTCATTCTTCTTCTTCTTTATTAAAGACTCCTCCCGCATTAGGAATCTATCCCGTGTCGCGTGGGACTTTACAAACATACATGAAATGGATACAAAGAACACCCAGACTCAGAACAACAATTTGTGGATCACACAAAGTGTCGTCCCATGTGGGAATCGCACCCATTACACTCAGCCTTAACGACTATTCTATGCTATCCGTGCAGTCAATCTGAAAACTCACATTGCTTAAGTTTTTTTTACTCCACGAGTTCGCCCTTGATCTTAAAAGTGTGTGTTTATTGTACCGTACATTATGTTTCAGTGTATTTTTGGCCCTCGATGTTAATAAGAAAAAGTGTGGTGGTGGATTGTACATTCAGCACCCACGAAATTATTGACTTGCAATACCTGTTTTGTAGTAGTCTGTTTAAAGATCACGTGTCTAACTATTCTCGCCTAGACTCGCTACATCAATGCCGATCAATGATTCTGTAGATAGTATAATAGACTCTCAAAGCACCTAACAACATTCCAGCCAGCTTGCATCAGTATGAGTTGCATACTCATTAATCATTACCCTCTCCTGAAAATATATCTTGTACATTTGGTGATAGATGTTGTCCAAGGACTTAGAGCGCCGAGTTACTGCCGTGTCGGGCCACCACACGATCGCGTGAGCCCTTGCATTTCAACTTTATTGGTATGGTGAGACGATGGTTAGATTCACAAGTCAGTTTACGAGCTTGATCAGTATCTTTATCAATATTTCGGAAAGACATTCGACACTGTTAAACTGTAGACAGGTTTTGACTAGAGTTACATAGCGATCGTTTAATGTTTTCACATTAACTCGTTTGAGAGATAATTAAACTAAAGGCTTTTTACTATCTAAAATTGATTTTTTATGTCAAAAGTTCATTAACCTATTTTAAACTTTACTACAAGTACGGAGGGTTAGATATTTATCTTTTTCTTATCTTATTTGTAGGCTACGTTTTAGTAGACGACTGGCAGTAGTTTTTTAACGTTTTATTTACTGGCTAGCGATAAAGCTAAAACAGGCTGTTTATACAAAATCGAAACTATTATAAAAAAATTAGGTTACCAAAATTAAACTATTATTGATTTTAGATAATTACGAGATAAAAAAATTGACGTGTGCGTTAGTTATGGCAACGCGTAATTGTAATGTTCAAAGTTAAGAGGCTCCAGCAAAGACACCCGCTGAGCAGTTAGATACTTTATAAATCTATTAATAGAAGAGAATCAAACACGCTTAATCCGCATGGGTCCACGTGACGCGGTCGCCATTACAGAATATAGCGTACACATACCCAATACGTAACATTCATAGTCCTGTCTTGGTAAGTCGACGTGCGTGACTGGTCTGTTACAAAAATCAATATATAAACAATGTCTTATTATAAAGTTGGACTTCAAGGATACAAACGCTCCGAGTACTGTTTTTATAAATACAATCAAATTGTATTGAGTTTCACATTAACTTTTCTGTATTATGTTGGTAAATTTAAACAGCTCTAGACAGATATCTTAAGGGCCTAATCAAGATGTAAGTAGTTTTTCATAATGAAGAAAAATTTAATGATACGAAACAGATCTAATACTTGCTATACATACATATCTTTGTGATACATATAAGTTGTATTTAAAAACCAAACACAGTTCAAATGATTAACTAAGATTTTTCAAGAATGTACTTACTTTGATGCTTATCTGCTAACTGTATAAGAGGATTAGGGAGGTCCCGCCGCCTGTAGAAGCACATGACTTTTGCTTCCACGTTGCCAGAGGGCGTCTTGTTCAGCTCCTCTATCCGTCGGATCTGGTACGGAGACGTCGACGACGTCTCGAAATAGACGCAGTCTGCAGACAAACATAAGGGATATGGGTTAGATTGAAAATTTTACCTGTAAAAATTATTATTGTAGACGACATACGCGTTAATCTGATTTATTTGTATGAAAATATGAAATGTCTACTAATATTAAAAATGCAGAGGTAAATCTGCCTGTCTGTCTGTTCCGCTTTCACGGCTAAACCGAAACGATTGAAATTTAACATGGAGATACTTTGATTCTTGAAGAAGGCTACTTTTTTCCGCGATAACCGACATACTCGCGGGCGGAGTCACGGGCAAAGTGTTAGATATTTTAAGAATAAGCTAATGAACAATGTTAATATTACGTTTAAAATTTACATGATTGCTTATTTCTGCTTACCATATACGATCGTCTAAATATAATAAGACTAAATTTTCGGTATGAATAGTATCATAAATTCGACCAAGTCATGGTCATTCATCGTAACATAATGCAGCATTAGGAATTAGTTCGCTCGAAATACATAAAGGTTTTTACTTGACTACAAGTGGCAAGTGTAGGTGCGCGGTAGGTGGTGCGGAACGGACCATGGATGTTTATCCGTACTACTGATATTGCGCTGGTTGTTGTGCCACATGGACAAGTAATGTAAATGGTGCTTTTTTACCGTTATACCGTACAACACAACTAAATAACACGCGCGCATAAATGACACGCTTCAAACCTTTCATTGCAAAACCGTAAGCGCGTTAGTTTTGGGCGATTAACCTTCTGACAATACTATCTATTGATGTATTTAAGAAATATTTTGCGGCAAATCATTAATCAACATTTCAATTGAATGCAACTTCAAGGAAGACGAAAATAATCAAATTTTGTTCTAATATTATACACAATTTAATTACAAAATAAAAAAGTACCTACCTATTTAGTACCTGAGAAGACAAGAAAAATTTTGTACCATTAAGAAATTAAATTACTCTTGATTTTAACAACTTTCCACTACACGAGCTCGGTCCTACAAATCGGAAGTAATTCTAGAAAACTCGCTTTATAATCACCACAGGATAGAATTATATGCACAGATGGCGCAGTGGTTTATGTGGTCGCCACGCCGCTTCCTACTGCGCCGAGTGTTGTGGGTTCAAACCCCACATGGGACGAGACTTTGTGTGATCCACAAATTGTTGTGCTGAGTCTGGGTGTTCTTTGTGTCCGTTTCATGTATGTTTGTAAAGTCCCCCGCGACACAGGATATATTCCTAATGCGGGAGTTGTCTTTTTAAAAACAAACAAAAACAAATATTCAACTAGCTTTTGCTCGCAGCTCCGCCCGCGGGCAATGTATGTGGGTTATCGCGGTAAATAGTAGCTTATGTTCTTCCTCAAAAATCAAACTATCTAAATACTAAATTTCATCTAAATCAGTTCAGCGGTTATTGATTCCTCATATAACTTTCACCCTTCTAAAATGACGACTTCTTGGATAAAAACTATCCTATGTCCTTTCTTGGGACTCACAATATCTCTATACCCAATTCATCTTAATCGGTTAAGCGGTTTAAGCGTGAAGAGGTAACAGACACAATTCCTCATTTATAATATTAGTATGGATCTTGTTTCGTCTGAAACTTTCCATTCTAGTACTATTGCGAGGTGAACTAAAATTAACTTATGATGAGACGTGAATTCACGTGCTATAGAAAAAAAAAGCGCTTTATTTTTTTTATTTTTATCATTATTATTTTACTTTCTAAGTTTCTATTAATTTTTGTTACACTAATCTCTAATTGTAATACTGTAAAATCTTTTAAGAAAGGGAACCGAGGTGCCTGAGATAAGTTACCATAAATTAAATACATTTTCATGTTGTTATGTTAATTTTTACTTTTAAAGGTGTTATTTATCTAAATTAGAATAGTGCTTCACCATCATCGACTCGTCATCACCCATAATAGTTAGGTGCTCTCATCTCACTTCACAAGCATAAATTGTTCATTTATTATTAAATAGTTTCAGTGGCTATCTTTATTCCTTGTCATCGGTTCAATTTCATCAAATACTGCTTTACACAAGATTTACTGTAAAAATATCTGTCCTGATGACGATTTGTTGACAAATTTCAAATTGGGCCGATCGGATCGGATGATTACCATCCGACTATTCGGATAACATACATAAAAATCTATTTCGATCATGACGAATTGAGAATCTTTTTCTTTTATTAAATTCGGTTACCAAAGTAATCTGGTTTTAAGTAGTAAAGACCGTGAAGACCAAAACTTCTTTTTAATTTATGACAGTAGAATATTTCAGTCATTATTTACGCTAATGTTATATAAGATATCTAATATTTCCAATAAGCAAGCAAAAGGGTACAAGATATAAATTTGTGTGTCTCGACGACTCGTCGTGAAACGCACCATAGCCGACGAGCGGCGACCTGCCATTTGTTAGAAACAACACTGGGACTTATATGAATAGTTTTGTGTGAAGAATCTACATGCGTGTTCGTATTAGTTGTTATATATCCGCCCAATAGGTACAACAGTTGCGGATGTACGTATAATATGTGGCGTGTATAGATATGTAAGTTGGGGCATTATGCGGCTGATAGCGATGTTAACGCCCGTTCCGTTTTGCCAAGAAGTGTATTTTTGGAACGTGTCAATAAGTAAGTGTATAGTAAATTTAGCCTGGACACGTCATTACAAGGGGCAGAGAATGATTGAATTCTCTCTGTGAGATTTCGTTCTGTGGCGACTGTTGTATCTTTTGTTGTTAATTACCATAACTGGCCTCAGGGTCACCTGTATTGAACGAGACATACAATTCGCCGAGATATTTTAAGGCAAATAATTAAGTAAGCGTTGTATGAAGCGTAGGTAACATTAAATTTTTAGCTATATTGGAAAAACAATCAAAAGGAACAGTGCCCATACGTTTCGCAACTCATAAAATAATCTTTCTTTCATCTAGTTTCACTTACTTCAGAACTGCCATTTCTTCAAAACATCACCAATTTGCTCAGCGTTTGTTCTGCGTGATGGAACCTACCGACCTGCATACTACACCTAATTTTAAGGTTTTTTTAAAACCAGCATTTGCAGGTTTAATTATCTCTAGATTGGCGCGCATTTATTCGGATGCCATGTTATCTTATATATAAAATTCTCGTGTCACAATGTTAGTTACCATACTCCTCCGAAACGGCTGGACCGATTTTTATGAAATTTTGTGTGTACATCGGGTAGGTCTGAGAATCGGCCAACATCTATTTTTCATACCAATAAATGTCTTTTTTTTTCAATATTTCCTAGAAATAATGTATATGGCAAAACAACGTGTGCGGGGTCAGCTAGTTTTAGTTTAAAATTCAGTCATTTGCTTCAGATAGTGTTTTGTTTTTGTGAAAATGAGGTGTTTTTTGGCGCCAAAAGTAGACTGACAAAACGAACAATTTCCGAATTTGAGTTATTACGTGTAAATAACGCTGCGCAAACAACACGAGACATTAACAGCGTTTACGGGCCTAACGCTGCTTGCATAAATACGGTCCATTATTGGTTCAACCATTGTAGATCTAAAAATGTTGAGTTGAAGAACGAGCGCGATAACTATAGTCGACCATGACGAAATGAAGAGGAGTTAGGAGTTAGTGTTAAAACAAAATTGAAGCACTTGCGTCAAATCGGAAAGATAAAAAAGCTAGATAAGTGGGTGCCAGCCGAACTAAGCGACCATCAACGAGACTTACGGGTCGAAACATGCATAGCACTACTGAATCGGCAGAGAAACCAGAGAATTTTGAACCGATAAAAAGTGGATCCTGTTCGGCAACCGTAAGCGTTCCTCTCGGTGGGTGGACCAGGGTACAGCACCTAATCAGTGCGCTAAAAAAAATACCTATAGGATAGTGACTGTTTGGTGGACCAGTGCCGGACTTGTGGCTCCTAACCGAATGCCAAGAATTGCAAACAATGATGGAAAAGATCGCAATTCTACAACCACGATTGGTCAATTGCTCTTCTCCATTGCTTCTCTACGACCATGCACAAGCTAACACTTTACGATAGACCATCGCCAAGCTACATGAGTTACAGCTGGAAGTTTACCGTCGCCCACCATACTTTGCCCCAACAGATTTCAACTATTTTCAAAATTTAGACAATTTCAGTGAGAAAAAATTCAACACCCGAGAGGCAGCACAAAACGCTTTCGCTGGTTTCATCGGCTCCCGTAGAGCAATCTTCTACAGTATAGGGATAAACAAACTTAAATCAAAATTGCAAAATTGTGTAGATAATTTGGGCCAGTAGTTTGATCAGTATTAGCTAAAATAAAAAATAACCAGTTTTATATTAAAAAAATCTGCAAATCTCCAACTTCATAGGTAAAGACCTAACACTTGTTTTGTTATTCGTTATACATGTGTACTTCCTAGGTAGCCAAAACACCTTAACATACTTAAAACACACTTGTATCAATTTTATACTAATTTCGTATATTTTACACTCAAAAATATATTCAAAGATTTATGAAAATATCATGGTAGACATGTAAATGCCTTTTAGTGCTCATTAGAATAAACTATTAAAATCCTGCTAAGTAATAATACCTACATGTTGACTTCGTTAGCAGTCTGTGAAAACAAAATTATATTATACTAGATTCTGTGAAATATAAATATATGACATAATAGAATCTAGCACATTCGTCTGAAACAGCAAGTGAACGTTAGTGAATCTCAAGTAGAAATTTTGGTACACATAAAGCGAATGGGTCTACTGGCCTAAATGCTAAAGAAAATTATCCAAGTATTTTTATCTATCTCGAAACCATTACCATCTTACAACCTTATTAGTTAATAAACAATATTAGTTTAGATCTACATAGCGCTCTTAGATACTATGTATAATATATTAGTAAAGAGCATTTTCTGTACCCCTTTTTAAACCAGTTGCGTGAACAGAGAAATGTAAAATTTTAAATACTTGAAAGCATAAATTGCCCGTAAATTAGGAAAGCTACAATGTGTGATTA